CAAGGCTGCCTCAGCCTTGCATACAGGTGGCATGCCTTTCAGCCTTCAGCACCCGGGGTGGTGTTCAGAGCCTGTCCTACACGGCAGATTTAAACACATGCTAAAATGATTTACTGAGCCGGTGAATGCCTCTGCCCTGGGGAGCCAGGAACAGCGCAGCTGTGCTGCTGGAGGCTGTCACTGATCTGGCTTAGGCAGCAGCACACAGATACAGCTTGGGCTACAGACCTAGGGTCAATCCTCAGAGGGCAAAGAGGCAGGTGCCAGGCTGGAGCAGGGCTGGAGCCCATGCCTTGGTAATTTCTGAGGGTCTCCCAGAAGAGACTGTGCCCAGGGCACTTGGTTCTAACCATCCCTGAGCCAGCAAGCTGGCAAAGCCTACAGAGAGCAGGGAGTCAGCCAGGGCTGTCTGGCTAAACGCAAAGCCAGCCAACACCAAAACCAGCTCCTCTTTCAGCTTGAGAAAGGAAGAGAAAGGGAAGAAGACAGTAAATCTCTATTTCAGAAGCTTGCTGCCTGGTGAGCTGAAGGGAACGCCCAGCTGGAAGGAATACTCTGTATAAACACAGACTCAGTGTTTTGCATATACTTTGCTACATATTTCATATGCATCTCTGTGTATGCATAAGCCACAGGGACACCCACACAAGAAACATTTTACAGCCTGTGCTCACATCCATGCCTTGCAGCCCCCATGCTGAAGCCCCAGAGCCATGTTGCTCCTGTGCCATCCTGTCCCATGTCCTCAAATTCCTGGGAATCCCATCAACCTTTCCATGGGAGCAAACCCTGCCATTTCCAACTCTGCGTGAGGGTTCTGAGGGGAAGCACTGCCTTGCTTTCTCATTGCCATGTGCGAGTACTACTCATAGCGTTTGCTAAAAGAGGCACTGCTGCCTTGCTTTGCTCAGACCAGATCCTGCCTCACCCATGCAGGCGGATGTCTGGCAAGGCCTCAGCACCATTACCCTGCATTTCCACAGCCATTGTATCAGAAATCACAATCAGACACCGTCCTGGGAAAGATCCATCCATTTTATATGGCCTCCTGCAGCCTTTGCTCCCTCTTTCCTCTTGCCTTGCACAGGCACCAACACCACTGGGAAATGGCACAAAGCAGCTCTATTTTGGGTTTTCTACAGAAGCAGAGGCCACGCGTGTGGATTCCCCTCTGAGGCTATTGGTACATTTTACAATGCCCTGGTGACAGGCTGAGCAGAAGTTTCAGAACTGCTTCGTTTCTAAACCTTTCCTGAAGCAGAGCAGCTAGGGAGGGGAGAAAGGTCACGCAAAACTCTGAGAGGTCTCCAGCCTTTACAAGGCTTCAGAGAATCCCCACCTTGAGGCCCAGATTACAGGAGAAGAGGCTGCCCCAGATGCTGCAGCAGAAATAAATCATGGCAAAAGCTGAGCCAGGGGGAACTCCTGTCTGCATCTGCTCCATCCCCACAGGAAAGGGTGGCACAGAGCAGCTGGAGCATCCGGGGAATCCACAGCTGCACCTGCATCCGCCCTGGCCAGACAGAAGGCCTCAGTGCTGTGCCTTCCCTCCGCTTCCTCCCTCTTGTCCTTCTCATCTCCCTCCTCAATAGGCAGTTTCAGGAGCAGCACAGTGCCTGGATTCTCTCAGGGCTTTTACGGTGCATCCGGCACCCAGAGAAATACCCTGCGGGCACCACTCCAGCAGCATCCCTGCTGCCCAGCCACGGATGCAGCCACACGCACATCCCCAGTGAGGGAACACCTCCCTCTGGCTGTCCCCAGGGTCTCTATGCGCCCTGGCACCAATCAGACCTCTGCCCCACAGTGCAATGGGCTCAGCCATCACCACTGCTGTCCCAGCTGAGCCTCCCTGCATCCATAGACACCCACATCCCCGCCTCCTATGCCACATCCCATGGATGCATTCCCCCATACAGCCCCACATGGGTGCCTGCATCCAACCCTGCTCTCACACACATCCGCTCAGCCACAGCAGAGCTGGGTACGGCGCGAAGGGAGGAACCACAGCAGCTATTGCCACACTTCCAGAGGAAGGCATGACGTGAGCTCAGGCTTCATTGGTTATTAATAACTTCTTTGTTAACAGGCCAGCCCTAAGGAGGAACCAAAATTGGACTGACTGAGAGCGCAGCCTCCCCTGTGCGAGCCATCATTCACAATTTCTTCTGAAACCATTTCTGTTCTCAGAAGTCACAGACGTCCCCGCTGAGTCACCGCAACACAGCATCCCCTCACCTACGCACAGGGCTTCACGCTTGGCTTTTTTCTTTCTAAATCCCAGAAAAATAACAGATGTCCCTGTTAAGAGGGAGCTTCTCAGACGCTGTTCACGTGGCAGGTTGTGCCAGGATGCGAGCACACATGCACCATTTCCCTAGCACAAGCTCTTTGCACACCACCGTTTTCCTGCTCCTCAAGAAAACTTCCTCTGCAGCAGGTTCCTCCTTCAAACAGCCTTTATGCCCTCCCCATGGCTGCATGTCTCAGGATCCTTCCAATTCCTCTTCCTTTCATAGAATCACTAAGATTGGAAAAGACCTCTCAGATCACCAAGCCCAACCCCAGCTCACCCCACCATGCCCACCAACCACATCCCTCAGTGCCACATCTCCACGGTCCTTGAACACTTCCAGGTGGGAGATGAACACCAGTGTTGTTCCTCACCCCAGCAGCCACTGTCAGACATCTCCAGAGTAGCACTCAGCAGGAAGCTTTGTAAAGCTTGTCCATCCAGCACATTACAGTGTTGCTCACACAGCCCAAAGCAGGTCAGGATGAAAGCAGCCAGCTAGGGAAGGCAGCAAGTCCTAAAGTCAGCACACATGATTGCCCTTCCCACCAATCCACATGCAGCTGGTGGCTTCCATCCCCTTTTATAGGTCCCAGGGAGCACTCATCCTCCAGCTGCTGGGGCCCTGCTGGCTAACTCATTAATGACTGCCATCTCCACCACATGAGTCTCCATCACAGCCCTGACCTCAGAGCCAGGCACCAGCATCGCTTACACCCATCACCCCAAAACCAAGTACCAAAAGTGAGACCCCACTGCCAGGATCCCACCCACAGGGCCCCCAGTTCACATCCCACCAATACCATGGGCAAGGGGACCCCCTCCACTTTCCAGGCCTCTCCAGGCAGCGCCATGGACTGGGGTAGAGTGAGGAGCCCTGGGGCCGGGGGTTACCCCATCACACAACAGAAGGGGAAGAGGCTCTCTTCTTCCTCTTCCTCCCTTGATTGAAGGGAATTTGCAGCCATGTAAACACAGGATGTTGATGAAACGCACTCGGCAGATTGGGCAATCTAGGGGTGACTGTGCCAAGGCAAATGGGAAATGCCAGCACCGGTGGCAACCTCCTTTGCCTGTCCCCAGGGCCACAAATTTCTCCTTTTTTCAAGGAGAGGTGGGTGTGGATTAATGATGATATTCACATTCTCCTTTCCAGCCCCTGGGGTCTCCTCACAAGGCAGGATGATGCTTGTTGTGTGCAGCACCGTGCGCATTGCTTCAGGCTGCAGATTCTGGCACTCCTAACCGAACATGAGAGGGAGGAAAGCCCCTCGTTTTGGGATTTTTGGCTGGCTCAGACCCACAGGTGGTCAGTGCTGCCTCCTGGAGCTGAGCACTGCAAGGACCCAGCACAGCCCTGCACCTGCAGCTGGGCACCATGGTGCCATGGCTCCTTCTGGGGGCTCTGAGATGGAGCAAGAGTGGGATGGAGGGGCTTGGGGCTGCCCAAAAGCAGGCAGAAGGATTTTCCCAGGAAAAGAGGCAGAGGTAGGCACCTCTGATTCTGCTGAACACGGATGCTCATGGCCATGGGGTGACATCTCCTGTGTGCATGTGGGAAAGAAACACCAGAACTGCACCATATGCACGAGGACATGGAGACAGGAGGGTGGAGTGAGCAGGGCGGCATGCGACATCGTCCCTAGTCCTCGGTGTCCCCAGTGTCCCCTGGAAGCTGCTGCCATCTGCTGGCAGGACCCAATCCTGCTCCGGTCCAGAGTTCGGCCGCTGCGTCGAGGTTCCCTCTGTAACCCACTGTCCCTTTGGGGTGGCATGACTTCATGCACCGCTCCACGTCCAACACCTCAAGGTGCCCCAGGAGCCGGGCACCAAAACGGCTCCACTGGGGCTGAAATCTCACTCTGGTTTTCTCCCCCTTGGGAGAATTTCCCATTTGGCTGTGGTGACTGCACCATGTCCCCTCCTCCTTGTGACACCCAGCCCGTTCCCACGGCCCCGTGGCCTCCCTGCTTCCACCAAGGATATACTGGGGATAGCAGCCAGGAACTGGAGCATCACCGGGTGCAGGGCACCCAGCCCCAAGGATGCTGAGCATCACAGCTCATCCTTCCTTGATCAGATGGCACCAGTTCCCCACACTGAGTTCATAAGAGGGACTGAACCACAGCTGTCCCCTCTTAATTCCTCACTGCAAAGCAAAACCAACACGCAGTGCATTTTCTGTGCACCTCATGCCAAAGCACACACGTGCACCAGGAAGGCTGAGAGGTGCTGGGACTGTCAGAGCCATGCCCCCCCCAGGGAGCACTGCAGGCACAGCATGTTGATTTTAGTCTGGTTTCCAAATAAACCAGGTGCGTGCACCACCCTGCTCAACTCTGCCTTTGCCCATCCCACCCTCTGTGATTTCATCCCCACGTTTACAGAGCCGTTCCCACTGAGAATCCTTCCACTGAGTGCCAGCAGCTCAGCCCTTACAAGACATCAGAGACTCCCCTGTCTATCGGCTTGCAGCACACTTCACCTGCATCCTCATCCCGTCGCCACTTAATTTCCTTCCAGAATCCCACAGCCACTCGACACGACAGCCCACAGGGACGCCGTACTCCCGGATCCCTCACAATCCGTGTGGCTGTGCCCCCTGGCAGCATCCCACCCACCGCATCGCTGCTTTGCTCCGGTAACGCGGTGACATCAGTGCGGCTTCCTGCCTGCCGGCAGCACCCGCCCCAGGCCCCACAGCCCCGTGCCGTGGGGCAGCGAGCCCCAGGGCCCCGCTTGTGCCCTGCAGCATGGAGTCGGTGGCTCTGTACAACTTCCAGACGACGGAGAAGGATGAGCTGCCCTTCCAGAAAGGGGACACCCTGAAGGTACAGGGGGACAGAGGTTGGGGAGGGACGGTGTTTGTACACGGAGTGCTTTTGTTGCAGTTGTTTGTCACCTGTTTGGGGCTTTCTGTGGAGGAGAAGTTGCTGTTTTTGATGAGTTTGGGGTGCAGAGCAGCATCACAACAGTGGAAGGTACCAGCTGTCCATGCCACGGGACACATCCCCGGTGAGGTCCTGGCTGGGGCATGGCACGAGGCCTCCCTGGCCATTGGGGCATCAGTGGCACCATGCTTTTCTTTGGGGCTGAAACCTGTTTTTCCCCTGCTCCACAGCTACAGGAACCTATCGGTAGGACCATGAGCCCAAATCCCCATCTGGGTACAACATTCAGAAAGGACTCAGCTGCCACCTTGGCACCCCCAAAGCCTCAGGGAGCCTCAAAACACCCCCAGGACCCACAGCCCTGCACTGGGGTCACGGGCACCCTGCCCCACTGCTTGCTCCTCTCCGTGGGGCTGATACATTCTGTGGCACCCCACCAACAACTTGGGGGGACCGAGGGCACGGGGAGCCATGCACAGCCCCGGCTCTGTCTCCCCGGCGTGTTTTCCCCGCAGCCCCGGGGTTTCAGATCCTGTTTGTACAGCTGTGCAGCAGCCCCAGGGCCCTTGCGTGGGAGGCTGGAAACTGGTGTTATGCGGAAATGGGTGTCACAGCCCTCCTGCTCTCAGCGGGACCGTCCTCCTACGCTGCCACTGCCCCAGGGGATGCTGCCGCTGGCTGCAGCCAGGCCCCCTGTGGGTATGGGTTTTACCACTTTCTTTGGCTGGGGGCTCAGGGGGATGCTGGGAACCTCCGTGGTGAGCCAATCCTCAGCATGGAGTGAGCAGTGAAATGTGCTGCCTTCACCAGAACCCATTTCCCCAGATTCTGTGGGTAGTTGGGACGGCTACACAGGGGCAGTGGAGGGCCATGGGGATGGCGGCCAGGCTGATGCTTCCCTGCTACTCTCCTGCCCCAGATACTCAACATGGAAGATGACCAGAACTGGTACAAGGCTGAGCTGTATGGCTGCGAGGGCTTTGTCCCCAAAAACTACATCAAAGTCAAACCCCACCCGTAAGTACCAGCCCTGCCCCATGGTGTCCCCTGCCAGCACCAGGCAGTGACCCAACCCTGTGTCCTGGTGCCCAAACAGCTGCTGAAAGCCCTGAACATGGGGAAACTGAGGCACAGAGTGTCAGGGTGACAATGCCAGGTCCTTCTGCCATTGTCACTGAAGGCAGTGGGAGGCAGAAGGGAACCCACATATCCTGGGCACACAGAAATTCATCCCTGCACCATGTTGCCTACTATATAAATGATAATTTATAGGGAACAACAAAGAATTATGGGATTACAGTTGCATTAGACACAATCCCATTAGTGTGTTATTAAAGCCTGGCATAATCCATCCTCAGTTTGAAGCTGTGTTTTATGTACCATCATCCCCGGGTAAATCACATTTTAATGCCACAGCAAAATCTGCTTGGAGCTGTGGCTGTGGGGTGCTGGGGCAGAGCTTCTTTGGCTCAGCTTTGTGCTAAAGCTGGGGTTGGGCATAACCACAGTAGGTTCAGCAGGTAGCAGAGGGTCTCCCCGATGCTCGGTGTTCGTAAAGTTGTGGTATTTGCACTGGCAGTGACCTGATTTTGATGCCTCCATCCCCACACATTGGGTTTCCTGCTCTGCACCAAGCACCCATGGGCTGTTTCCGTATTGGGCTGCGAGTCACGGGGGGGGAAGCAGGGGACGAGGCACCCTGCTGGCGAACAGGATGCGGTCACGGCTGCTGGTGATGCTGCACAAACACCTTTGCAGGAGACTGTGCTTGCAGGGCCAGCACAGCGCGCAGCAGGCACTCACCTTGAGATCACATCAAAGGGGCAAAATGCTGGGGGTGGGTTCAGGCCCGACGGGGACCCCACTCCCACGGGGTTCCTCTCGGTGTCTCCGTCCCGCGGGGTGGGGACGTGGCGCGGGGTGCGTGGGGCTGAGCGGTGCCCCTGGCAGGTGGTACGCGGGGAGGATCTCTCGGCACGTGGCGGAGGAGCTGCTCCTCAAGCGCAGATACGTGGGAGCCTTCCTGATCCGTGAGAGCGAGAGCGCGCCGGGGGAGTTCTCCATCTCCGTCAAGTGAGTGCAGCCCAGGGGACACGTTTCCGTGAGCATTCCTGAAGACCAGCTCTACAGCATCCTGGTGCCCCGGGGCCGATGGTTTCGGCATCAGAGCCAGGGCTGTGTGAAGGTGTGCCAATAGGCAGAACCTCCCCCAGGGCTATCGCCCCATTGCTGCCCCCTCCCCGCCCAGAGCCAGCATGCGGGAGCCGGCCCCAGGCCAGCGAGGCACTTTCTCACATTGCTAATCTCTAATTAAGCATTTAAGGAGGTTCTTGCCCATAATGAAAGGGAGCAACCTCTGCCCTGAGTCACCAGCAGGGCCACATCCCTGCCCCTTCCCCGGGGCCCTGGAGGCAGTGGGGACATGCAACAGACCCATGGCCCCACTGTGCCACCACCAGGAGCACACCAAGGTGGGAAGCCAGCCTGCTCTGCTCTCCTGCATCTGGGGGGATCCTGTGGCACGCTGGCACCCAAACCTACAGCCCATAGTTCTCCTACCTGCCCTTTGTGGGTGTATGGATCCCAGTGCCACCGTCACCTCTGGCTGGCTAGAGTAGGATCCTGGCTTCACATGCAGTGCTGGAAAGGATTTGAGATCCATCAGTAACATCCATCCATGCTCTGTCTGCAGCTACGGGCAGCACGTCCAGCACTTCAAGGTGCTCCGTGAGCGCAATGGCAAATATTTCCTCTGGGAGGAGAAGTTCAACTCCCTCAATGAGCTGGTGGACTTCTACAGGACCACCACCATCGCCAAGAAGCAGCAGATCTTCCTTCGGGATGACGAACAGAGCCCAGAGGTAACCATGGGACCATGGGATGGCATCAAGAAGGGCTCCCTCCTGCACCCCAGGATCTTCCTTGCCCTTGGGGGCCCCACAGATTTCCCCAGACAGGATTTCCTTTGTTCCTAGCCCCACTGCATGGGTCTTTGCAGTGTCCCCACCACCCACTGCAGAGCTGCTGGGGAATACAGGATCCTCTCCCTACTCTTGACGCCTCTGCTTTGGGTTTCCCTGCAGGTGAAGAGACCCAAATTCGTGCAAGCCCAATTCGACTTCTCTGCTCATGACAGCTCCCAGCTGCCCTTCTACCGCGGGGACATCATTGAGGTGCTGGACTGCCCCGACCCCAACTGGTGGCAGGGAAAGATCTATGGACGCATTGGCTTCTTCCCCCGCAATTATGTCCACCCCATCCGCAAGTGAGCCACCCCGCGCCCCCCCCCCCCCATCCCCACGCTTTCCCCATGGGCTGCAGATGCCATCTGTGGATGCTGTGCAGAGCCTGCCCCACTGCCAGCACCAACAAATACCCATATGTGAAGAAGCAGACGGCTGTGTGACGTTGAGAGGTATCCAAACTTCTGCGGGGTCACGATGGGTGGCAGCTCCTGGCCAGAACTCCTCCAGCTCCAGCTCCAGGAAGGCTGCAGTCAGCTGGGACATGGCTGGGCTCAGGGATGCTGTGGAGCAGTGCTGGGGTATGGGTTGCTGGAAGGGCTGCTCAGGAGGAATTCAGTCCTGCTGGTGCCATTTGTAGCTGCAAATTGTGGCTTTTTTGGTTGTTTTTTTTTTTATTATTATTTTTTCTAGAGTTAGTAAAGTGTGTTGGGATTAAACTTTCCTGTGTGGCTGCAGCATTTCCACCCATGCCATGGCCTTTGTGGGGCCGTGCTTCACCTGCTCTGCCCCCCTCAGCCTCCCCTGTGCCCACCCCAAAGGCTCACAGTCCCCACCATTGTCCCCCTCTCTCACAGTCCCCCAGGACACAGTCAGATCTGCAGCCCCGAGAACACACAGCTCATTGCACCAATGGCTTTAAGCTTCCACTATCCCTAACTTGACCAAAAATAATCACCTAAATCCCCATTTCTCCACCTATTCCTCTCTTCCTAGGGGCTGACAGGGAGCTAGGCAAAGTAAGCATAGCAGAAAATATTGATACACAGCAGGACAATGGCGTTGATGCTGCAGACCCGGGTCCAGAAAGGGGACTCAGTGGTGTCTCTCAGGGCTGGGAGTCCTTCAGTTGCCTGCTGGCTACTTAGGGCAGCTGAGCAGGAGCCTGGCAGAGACAAACAGTGATTGTGGAGACAGGAGACCATGGGGAAACCGAGGCACTGGGCATCCGTGCTGCAGGGATGATACACACAGGCAAAGAACCAGGGATACCCCTGTGCTGGGCACCACTCACCATCCGGGCATCTCTGTGACGTGCCATCCATGAAGTGCTGGGGAGGCTCCTGGGAAAGGCTCCACCAGGTGTGATTCCGCAGCTGGAAATGGGATGAGATTCAGTAGAAAAACACCCTCCACAGGGACTCCCCTTTGGCTGAGCTCAGGGTGCACCTCAGGAGACAGCGATGTCTCCAAACAAGCAGCTACGGGGCGCAGGGCCCAGGGTGCCCACGTGTTCTGCTCACCCTGTCTGAGGGTGGTGGGGGAGTCATCAGGCTGCCCCCCACCACGACAGCCCCCGTGATGGCACACAGCAGAGCAGCGAAGTGCAGGTAGTGCAGGTCAGCCAGCAGCCAGGGCCGCCTGTCGGGGACCCCGCAGCGGGGTGTGGGGTGTGCCAGCTCCAGCCCCATCCTGGCCAGCCCCAGCACCAGCCCTGCCATCAAGCCCCAGAAGGCTCCCTGCAAAGCAAACGGCAGAAGGGGGCAGCTGGAAGGGGACGGCCACGCCAGCAGGAGACAAACCCCACAGAGGGGACCACCCCCTTGGACAGTCCATGAAGAGGGATGGGCAGCCCCAGGGTCTTGGCATAGCACTGTGAACCCCGACCAGCCCAAACCCATCCCCAGTGGCACTCACTCCCAGGGGATGCCCCCTGCCAGCCCCACCACGCTTGGTGGCCACGTGTGGCAGCACCTGCATCCTCCTTCTCCTCCTCCTCCTCCTTCTTCTCCTCCCCCCATCCAGCCACAAGAAACACCACCCTGGGGCTTTTGCATGTTCCTTTTGCATATCCACATGGCCAGTGGGCACAGTGGGCATGGGCCAGCAGTTGAGTGATTTTAGAGGTCTTTTCCAATTTGAATGATTCTACATTCCCTCTCCCACCTCTCCAGCGCTCCATTCTCATTCCTCCCTCTTGACCTCACCCGGAGTCCAGTGGGCAGGGCTGTGTTTCTGTCACTGTCCCCCAGCTGTCCTCACCTGCTCGTTAGCGCGGGGCCAGAAGACCCCCAGGATGAAGACAGCAGTGACAGGAGGAGCCAGGTAGCTGGTGACAGCTTGAATGTAGATGTAGAGCTGCCCGCCGCCGGAGCTCTGCAGGATGGGGATCCACACCACGCTGAGGGCCACCAGCAGCACCGTCACCACCCTGTGAGCAGCAGTGCATGGTGACACCGTCCCACCTGCGCTGCACGGCACTGTGCTGACCCATGGCACAGGCTGGGGCCCAGCAATGCTGCAGGTGGGCATTACCCTGAGGGCAGCAGGAGGATGCCCAGCGCAGGGACACCCCCGGGGCTGGGCAGGATGTTCCTGCCCCGTGTGGTTTCTCACCTGTCGCAGTGGCAGACATCACGATGTGCAGTCTGGGCTCAGTTCAGACGTGCCTGGGGCTGAGGTTGTTTCATGTCATCATGCTCTTGGAGCCCTCCCCAGCTAACTCCCTCCCTGCCCACCGGCTGCAGCCAGAGAAGGGTATCGCCACCTGGGCACAATCCCATCGGGGCTGACCCCAAGCCATGGCTCTGAGCCTTGCACATCCCCTAGGCTCTTATGGAAATGTCATCTCAAAGGCAGAGCCACAACCTGCAGTCCCCATCTCACCAAACCTGCACAAGGTGCAGTAATTACAGCAGTGCCAGCTCCATCCTGGAGCACTGGGGGCTGCTGATTGGCACCTTGTGGGGAAACACTATGAAAAGCCCCACGTGCAAATTTTGGCTCTGCAGTTGATGCTCTCATCACCTTCACACCCTTGAGATGTCCCCAGGTGTCCCCATCCTCACCCCGATTCCAAAACAGGAAGCATTGCCAAACCCCAGATTTCGGGCTCAGTCTGAGCACGGACAGTACAGATCCCAGAAGCACAGAGCTGTCAGCTCAGCAGCGATGGAGGCAGCCAGGAGCTGGTACCCAGTGCAGGGGAGCGGCTCAGCACTGCCGTATTTATAGCTCAGTGCTGCGTGTTGACAGCGGGCAGCTTCGCAGAATTACCCCAATCTCCATCTGCTCATTTCGAAAAGCAGAAGTACTTTAAAAAGAGAAAAAGCAAGCAAGAAAGAAAAAGCCATGAAAGCACCTCCCCAGGCACAGCCGCCCTCTGGTGCCGCCTGCCTGGTTCTATGGAAAGAGGAAGCACAAAGTGCGTGCCCTGACACATGGGGCAGGAGAAAAACCCCCCAGTGGGGGTGGCCCTATGGCACTGCTGATGCTGGGAGGGCATGGGACAGGTGTGGGACGTGGGGCTGGCACAGAGTGAAAAACACCAGCGGGGATTTCCAGGGGGGTGACACTGCCATGGTGTGAGGAGAAATCCCCAGATCCAGGGAATCAGGAGCACTTCCCACCCCCTCGAGCAGCACCACATGGGGGGATGCTCCGGCCCACCGCCTGCTGCAGGCAGCACCGGGACCCTACAGAGAGACCCTCTGAGCTCAACATTGGCCTTAGGAATGGGCAGCACTACCCCACGCCCCTAAGAACCCATGGGAGCAGGGTAAAGGTTTCCCGTCAGGATCCCAATACTTTTGCCCTGTACCTACAGCACGAGTGTGTGTTCTGGAGATGCTCCAGACAAGGGCAAGCAAACCCCTCACTCACAGAACTGAATGGGGCACAGCCCATGTGCAGGTGCCGTAGGGGGAGGTTGGGGGTGGGAACCATCCTATGTCCCCATGCTGGTCCTTGCAGCTCTACCAGCACTTTTTCCTTCCTGTGACTTTCCCCCTATGCTATGCTCCCAGCTGGCACCCAGCTATCTCCTCAGTACCCATGGAAAGCTATTGCCAAGCTTCTCTGGAAGCGTGGGTGCTGTTTATAGATGTGCCCATCCCAGTGTTGTTGTTTAGCCTGGGAAAACAGTTGAAGAAACATGGAGCAATCCCGAGCCCCCCTGTGGTGACACATGTCACCTCCATCCCTGTCCACACGTGCCACCCCACAGCTGCTGACTCAGCACAGCCATAGGGCTGCACACGTTGCCCCCCTGCATTAATTTATCACCTGTAATCAATTGCAGCAGTAACTCCTGCCCCAGGCAGGCAAAGACCCATCCACCACCCTCCCAAAAGCACTCCTGTATTATTATAGCCATTTTTCTAGGCATAGCATCCAGTTCCTGCACCTATCTGGACGGCAGTGCTGCTGCAGATAGATCAACACCCATCATCTTCCCACCCCCAGCAACAGAGGGTGCCAAAAATCACCCTCCTGCAATCACCCAGACCAGCAGGGCCGGCAGAGCTTCCTTGCAGCCTCAGCCCAGCCCAGCCAGAGCCCTGACCCAGATTTCCTCCCTGTCATTGTCCCTATAGCACAGCACCGTGCAGAGCCATGCTCCAGAGCTGAGTGTGCCGCCCCAGGCACAGCACAGCACCACAGCACCAGACTGGGGGCCAGCACTCACCACCCCTGGGGCACACACTGGGGCTGTGCCACCCTCTGCCCCATAGCGACGTGGGGCAGCAGCCCAGCCCACTCCCTTGAGCTTGTTTGGAGGGCACAGCTCAGCCCCTCCAAAACGCTTCATGAGCCCCATCTTCATTTCCAGCGCTTTCATCCATAAAACACTCCAAGGGTTTTGTTTTCTTTCTGCAACCACAGCACTTTGCAGCTGGGCTGAGCTCCAAAGGAGATCATAGAGGGCTGGCCTGGCCCTGCTGCTCTCCCAAAAACCCTCGTTGTCCCCAAAACACTCGCTTCCTACCTGCCCACCATGAGCAGCTCGCGCTCACTGGCCCTTGGCCTCATCCTCCTCCAGATGTCCATGGTGAAGAGAGTACTGCTGCTGTTGAAGATGGAGGTGAGGGAGGACATGAGCGCGGCCATCATCACTGCAATCATCAGACCCCGCAGCCCTGGGGAGGAGATGGTCAGGCTGTGGCTGAGGACAGCAGGATGGGTGTCCCCCAACGTCCCAGAGGAAACACATCCTGCTCTGCACGTCCACAGGTTGGGTTTTGGGAATGTCCCCAGTGTCCTAGAGGAAACACATCCCAATCTGCATGTCCATAGGTTGGGATTTGTAGACACCTAGCAGCCTCATCAGACAACCCACAGCCCCCAGTCTCACTTCTGGGGGTCACTGGGGAGGGGGCTGCACGGCCCAAAGCTCCCTAAACAACCCTGTGATGGCCAAGCCAGGACACCAACAGCCACCAATACAGCAGGACCCAGCTGCAAACAGCACAACCTTACCGCTGGGCATCAGCTCCACCACCAGCTTGGGGTAGGCGATGTTGGAGCAGCCCACTGCAGCCCCACACACACGGGTGCACTCCTCGGGGTCCACGCAGGCCACAGCATCTGGGGGACAGAGGCAGGGGAAGGTCCTGGAGTGAGTCTGCATCCTCCAGCATCACCCAACCTCCCCATGCACTATCCCTGGGTTGGATCTCACATCTCAAAGTCCTGACCACCCTAAATCCCACAACAGGCCCCCAGGGTGACCCCACAGCCCTGCTGGGACCTGGGGGCAAATGATTTTGTACACCATTGGGGCCATCACCTCTGCATCCACTGCTCCCCACGATGCACCTGGCAGCACTTTAGGACAGTCAACGCCCAATTACTTATGCGTCTCGATGGGTGCTGAGCCCTTTTTTATTGTTAGGCTCATAAAATATTGAAATGGATGGAAATTAATGGCAAGTATAAATATTTATGTCCAGGGTGGCTCTCATCTTGGCATCCTCACCCCGAGCACCTGGGGTGCTCAGGACCGGCGTGGGCACCCCTATGCACAGCTGGAGACATAGGGAGGGCAAGAAATGATGCAGCACAAAGGATTTCCCATAGGGTATGTGCACTCCTTCTGTCCCCACTGTTCTTCTTTGGAGTGCAGACTCCACAGTCCCCACCATGCACCGGAATGTGCACCAAAAGCCCTGCAAAAGGAGAAGGACCTGGATTCCCTTGGCTTTACAACACCTAGCACAGCACAAAGCAGGCTGGGCACAGCAGGAGTGGGGCTGGCAGCTGCCTTTCCACCTTTCCCTGGGGGTAAGAGACAGCGCCATGGCTCTGAGTAACGCTGCCATCACAGCTCTATGCCTCAGTTTCCCCTTCTCCAAAGCACCACGTTGAGCGTGGCTCCATGCAAATACCCACAGACCTGTAAGGCTGGAGGATGCTCCCGAGGGCACAGCAGTGTCTGAGTGCTGCACCCCAACTGAACACCCCTTGGTGCACCCCAGCAGAACTCGGGCAGCAGAGCCCAGCAGAGCCCAGCGTCACACCCTGCTGCATCATTAGGCCTTCAGTTGGAGATGGGAAATTAATTAGGAGCTTGTAATTAATGCTTCCCACTGTGGCCAGGAGAAGCCTGGTGCAGGCTGTAGGGCTGCGGTGGTGCTGGGGATGGTGAAGCTGGGATATGGAGTGGCTCTGCCTGGCCAAGGGAATGGGGACATGGGGACAGTGGGGACTGATGCGTTCAGCCACAGTGACCCCTCCCTGCAAGTGGCAGACAGTTAAAGTCTGCGGGCTCTTTTTCCGCAGTGGGGAAAGCAGAGGAGCAAGCTGGTATGCAGAAAAAATATACCAAGTGTGCACCCAAATAACAAAATCATCTACCCCTGAGCTCAGCGCAATGCTGTCAGTAAAGAGATTTAAAGAAGAGAGGAGGAAGAGCACAGCTACAGCATTGAGCCCCGATGGCAGCTGTCACAGCACGGCCCCAATGCGACACTGTTTTCCTCTTCCATCAGTTCCACCATGCAATAAATCCTAATCACACACACCCCTCCAAAGAGGCTGCAGATCTCCTTGCCCAGTGACCACCACACGAGCACAGGACATCACCGAGTGACTCAGGTTGGAAAAGACCCCCCAGATCCCCACCCCACCGTGCCCACTGCCCACAGCCCTCAGTGCCACATCTCCACATTCTGGAGCACCTCCAGGGACGGTGACCCCACCACTCCCTGGGCAGCAGTGCCAGTGCCTGACCGCTCTCTGGGAGAAGAAATTGTTGCTAGCATCCATCCTGAACCTCCTCCAGGAGGAGCTGAGAGAGGACAAGGAGATAAATCCCTGCAAGGACAAAGGGAGATGCAAGATTGGTGCCCAGCACCCTGCACGCCTTGCTCCAATGCAAGGCTCTTTGCTGCTTTGCCCTGAGGATGGTGACTCAAGCAGGGCTCTCATTTACACGGCCGCAGATCCAGACCAACTGCACCCAAGCGGCTCAGCGAGACGCAGCCCGTGGCGTTTTCCTTTCTGACATCTGATCCCAATTCACGAAATTCTTCGCCCAAAAGCTCCGCGATCGCCGCCTGGCCAAAGCAGGGGGGGATTTTTAATCCACCTCCCAGTTCATATCACACTCTGCCAGCGCAGTGCCGAGTCCCAGCCGCAAACCCCGCACCCAGCAGAGCCCTGCCCGCAGTTCCGACCCTCTCCCAGCAGCGCGGGGGCTGCTACATGCGGTGCAGGAGGGCTCAAACACGGGGCACAGCCACTTCTTTCTCCAAAAACAGCGCCATCCCAGCAGGCACAAAAAGTAAGAGGGGATTTCAGGGCAGAGCTGATTTTTTGGAGGAGCGCTCGGGGTCCCAGCGAGCAGCGCAGGCTGAAAGAGTTAATGGCCGAGCCGAGCTGGGAATGTGCAGGCAGCATGTGACCGCAGGTGGGGCAGGGCGGAGCGATGAATCACTCCTTTGCTTTTCCTCTTTTCACTTCTTGCTGTTACCTGTCCGACCCGGCACAGCGTGCGGGCGGCAGCCGGGAGTCACTCGCGGAGATGCCGAAGAGTTCGGCGCAGACGTCGGGCACCGAACGCACCGCCAAGCCGCTGCCCAACCGGGACCCGGCCGATGTTTGGGCCCAGAAACTCCGCTTCGAGCGCACTTTGTGAAGCTGTTTCATTTCCTTTGTTTCTTTTCCTTTTTTTCTTTTGGTTTGCTTTCTCACTGCGCTGAAAGAGAGGAGAATGAGCGCAGTGCGTAGCCGGAGGTAGAGGAGGCCGTGTGTGTGTGCGCACGGGGCCGAGCTCTGCTCTGCCCGCAGCAGGAACCCAGATCCTCCTCCCCGCACAGCCCGGCGTGGCAGGAGCCGGCCGAGCAGGGAGCCGCGTCCCCGGCTGCACACTGAACCGGGGTGGGCAAAGCAAAACTGATCGCCTTCGTAAAGACTGGGGAGGAATTGATTCAGTGTTTACTGCCGGAGAAGTTCCCTTGGCGGAGGGACGCGGCGTGTGCCATCGCCATGGCTTTCTCCCAGGTGCAGTGCCTGGATGACAGCCACGTCAACTGGAGGTCCAGCGAGTCCAAGCCCGAGTTCTTCTACAGTGAGGAGCAGCGCCTGGCCCTGGAGGCCTTGGCCGCCCGCGGCCCCGATGCCTTCTACGAGGTCCTGAAGAAGGAGAACATCCGGGACTTCCTCTCCGAGCTGGAGCTCAAGAAGATCCTGGACACTCTGGAGACGTATGACCCCGGCTCTGAGTACATCCCGCGCCACGGCAGCAGCACGGCGGGGAGCGAAGGCGACCGCAACAGCCAAGGGGACGAGCAGGACGTGGCCCCATCCCTGGAGTACTGGCCGCAGAGGTCCGACCGCTCCATCCCGCAGCTGGACCTCGGCTGGCCCGAGACCATCGCCTACCGCGGGGTGACCCGTGCCACTGTCTACATGCAGCCGCCCATCGAGGGCCAGGCTCACATCAAGGAGGTGGTGCGGAAGATGATCTGCCAGGCTCAGAAGGTGAGGCGCCGCCGGTGGGCTGGGGGTGGCCGCAGGATGTCCCAACCGGGATGGGTCCCAAAGTCCTGCTCAGCCAGGTGGTCCCTGTCCTCTGCTCAGGCCAAGGCATCGGGGTTGGGCATTTGGGTTTTTCTGTATTCTGTCAGAATAACCAATATTCAATCATCGGTTTTTGCTGAAGACGATGCTGTTGGCCTGGTCTAACGCCCTCTGGGAGCAACATGGCCCTTTCCGTGGCCGTGTCGCTCATCTCAGAGTCTCCACGGGGAAGAAAAATTGGTCCCGACTGCCCCATGGTCACAGAGCACAGTGCAACTGCGTGCAGCAGCATGCTGGAACTAGAGGAGCCAAACTCTGCCCTGGGACAAAGCGGCAAAGCCTCGGGTCTTGCACTGGTGCAGGAATCAAGTCCAGCTGCAGAGTGGCACATTGCTCTGTGTCAGCCCTATCCTGGCTGTAGGAGAAAAGCATTAGGAGAAGCGCTGCAGGCTTGGGTTGAGGCTTGTCCTCCTCATGGCAGCAAACCAGGACAAAGATTTGGGGCAGATGAACAATAGGGTCAGGCTGATGTCATGGGCAGGAGGACAATGGAAGGAGGACATGGTGGCAAGCCTTAAAGACCACCAGCAATGGTGGACAGAAGCCACTGGAGCTCCCAGTGACCCAGCCCTGGCAGGGAAGCAGAGTGGGGCCGGTGCCCATTAGTTTCGTGATGATGGTGGTTGAACCTTAAAGAAATTCAGTTCAGAGAGAGCAGCACCCAACACCAAGGGTGTTTCAACAGGAAAACAGGCAGACTCCAGGAGACAGGCTGAGATGCTTTAGGTGGCATGGATCCCAGCAAGCCCAGCACTGGGCACTCACAAAAGTCAAGGTGCTCTGTCCTTACCAGCATTATTTTCCTGCCACAGGGCATTGTGGTGAGCCATGTCCTTATGGCACGATAGGGCAGGGCTAGAGCCTGAGCCTCACACGTGGGACGGAGGATGAGGAGACCTCTCCCATCACAAACAATGTCTCATCTTTGGCTCTTTCCAGTTGCCTCTGCCCCAGCTCTGCAGCTCCTGCCCGGCTCTGCTTGCTCATTGCTTCCCCTACGCCGGCAGCACCTTGTGAGTCACCCATCCCTGAGTCAGGGCCGGCACCATCCCAACCTCCCCTGGCTGCATCTCCACGCTGCAGGGATGCAATTCCCTGTGAGTGGGGCCGGGGAGGAAGAAGGGGGGGAGTTGGCAGGGTGGGGAAGCAAAGAAGGAGCTAATTGGGGTTCAGCAGATGTGCTCCTCCAGCCCTTCAGTGGAACCCCATTTAGAACCCCACAGATGAACCCACAATCACGCTGCTGAGCCCAGGTGGCTGCCCCAGAGGATGATCAGAGATGTTGTCATACACCGATGCACGGGCTGTGAACGCAGCAGGGAGAGCAAAGGCCATCCAGCTGAGCAAGGCCCCTTGCATGGTGAGGTTGAGCCCACGGATGTGCACGAACAAAGCCAAGCGCTGCCGCGTTCAGGGCTTTGCTCTGCCAAGAGGCAAATCCGGGCGAGCTGAAGCAGGGCTGCACACGATCTGCTCCTCACTGTGGGAAGGAAGGGGGGAGCAGG